GAAGGAGTTTAAAAACAAACTTCTCACACCCAAAACCCAAAGCTACCACGACTTTTATTACGCCTGCACACAAAACCAAATGATAACATTCAATTATTAGGAAGCTGATGTGGACCACTTCAGCAAATTGAGTGGATTACTTGAATCTGCATTTTCTCTGCTGCTTTAAGGAAAATGTAGGCAAGATACAGACCCTTCAGGCATTGGGTATTTTGCCTTTTTAGTGCTGAATGTTGGCAGCTCCCTTGCTGCTACACTGTTTGTTGCTTATGAAAAGCAGCTGTACTTGGAGGTACTAATAATAACAAATTGTATAAAATCCATATTTTCTGAAGAAGTCTACCTCCTTCAATACCACAATGCACAACATTCATACCATCCAAGTTGAGACTTGATAGGGAAGTAGAGAACTGATGGTTTAAAATGCTGCTTTATAGTTTACCACAAAGAATGTTGAACAAAGATAATTTTCCATCAGACTTCCAAGTTTCCAAGCAGGGTTGAGAGACTGCATAAGCAAGTCACAGTCTTTTTTTCATAAAGTTCCTATAACCTTTTCATTCTTCCTTACACTCAGACTTCATATTCAGAGCTGTAACTCCCTGCTTATTTCAGCTGGTCATAACCAAACAAAACTTCCACAATCACTGGAGTGTATTCTGGACAAGAAACCTAGAATTTATTTTCTGTCATATAAAGCAAATGAATGTGCCCTAAGCTATACCACTGGAACAGCATGCTTTTTTATTCTTATAATGGAAAAAGATATCAGAGATCAACTTGCTAGGTGTGATTTTTAAAACCAAATTTGTTTCATCTCTGTAAACAGTTTTCACTTCATGCTCAGATTTTCCTCATCTATTCAAACTCAATTAATTTAAGTGTCTGAGAGTTAACAAGAAATTTATTCCTTTCTTCTAGCAGCCTTTTGAAGGAGGCAACCAAAGAAATACTGAAGATTATATTTTTTTACGTTACTCCTTCTTCCACCGGTTAATCCTACAGAGAAAAATGAAAGGTTTAAAACCTTCCAACTCCCACTTGCACAGTTCTTAACATAATGAGATTATACTGTCTCAAACAACCCCAATGAAGTAAATTAATTAATTAAACACAGTAAAGCTTTGAAAACAATGTGAGGGAGGACTAGCAATTACTTGCATATAGCACACAGACGGACAGACACTCAGGCAATGAAGCAATGTCCTACCTCTCCTTGCCGGTGATAGTGCTTGGGACGTTTTCCCATCTGCTCTAGCATTTTGACCTTCTTACTGCTAGCAAGCGTCAGTCCCTGGTGGATGCCTGCAGATCTGTTGGTTGTCTGAGTTGGAGCCTCCCCCATCAGGGTGGACTTGATGGAGTTCACCTTGGAGCTGGAGCTGTCTAGCTGGGAGCTCTCCACGATCAGGACCGCGGCTAGTAAGAGGAGACAGCAGGAGCACTTATTCCACATCAGCACGATCATCTCCCCTCCCCCCAAAAGGACTGTATTTTTTTTCTTTTTTTAAAAGAAAAGAAAACAAAAGAGAGGGGAAAAAAAGATTTTAAAAATATCTCCCAAAGTTGTTAATAAAGCAATGGATTTCAATGCCACACACTCAATGAACTGCTGTTCTGAGAGTCATGGGAGAAAAATAAATTAAAAAAAGAATCCCCTAGGTAAAATACGTGTCAAGTCTATAGGCACTAAGCAACTATCGGGTCTGTGAAGTGATGGCTTTCTCTTCCAGGTCCTCGAGAAGTGCAGGCAATTCTGTAGTGACTGAGAGCAATGAGCTGCGAGGCAACTGCAGGCAGGGCAGCTCCAGCCCGCCTGCTTGAGCTGCGGAAGAAGAGTGAGCGAGTGGCTTCTCCCACTCCTCCTCTCCTGCCCAGCAGAGAGGAAACTCAAACCAGATCCAATCCAAGCAGCACCGGCAAAAGCTGGGCTTAGTTTTCTTTCACTCTCTCTCGCTCTCTCTCCCCCCCTCTCTTTACTTTTTATTCCCCTCCTCCTTTTTCTGTCTTTCGACTCAGCTTTCGCAGCCAGCAGGAGTGAAAGCGCCCGGTCTCCTCCTCCTCTTCCTCCTCCTCCAGCCCGGCCGGTGCAGGGCGAGGGGCTCAAGGCAGGGCAAGGCAGGGCAGGGGGAGCCCAGGGGCTGGCCCCCACCGCGACAGGGGCGCTGGGAAAAAGGGGCAGAGCCCGCGGGGGGCTTCCCCTGCTGCTTTCCCTCGCACTCGGGGGTCTCCGGCAGACTCGCTGCTCCCTTCGTTATTACAGCCGCCGGCAGCGAGTGTCCCTCGCTCCGGCCGGGGTCTGCCCAAGGCACACGGCCACTGCCACGCGTGGGTGCCCCGCTCAGGAGGTTATGTCCCGCCGGAGGGGACGGCTGTAGAAGGCTTCCCGCTCGGGCTCTCCGCAGTGCGCTGCCCAGGTACGGAGCAGCTCCAAACACTAAATGCTGCCCTGCGCCATTCCTAAATGTGACACCTCGCGGTGCCACAGACCCGCTAGCAACCGGAGAGACTTATTTTGTACCCGTCTTCTCCATGTCCTTGGCGTGAGCACACATCTGATGGCTCTGAAACATCCAAGTGCTACAAACGACACCCACACAACCTAAGGCACCTGCACCTCCCTGCCGCAGCACTAAAACACTGTATTTCAGGAAAAAAAGAAGGGAAACGGGTATGCAGAGTGCAAAATTAGCAGAACTGGGGTAAACCCAGCCCTTCACTTTTCCCTGTGACCTGCAAAGGAGTTAGTGCAGAGAATATCACCGTGGGGCACTTATGTACTGTGGTGGAGCATCTTCAAGTCCTTGTCTTTCCCCTGGACGTGTGAAAAGTGGGGTGGAGGGAACAAAAGACGGCGAGAGAGAGACTGCCTTGTCTGGGAACTGTATAGAGCATTTTCATCTTTTCCCCCTCTCCTAAGTTACGAATCCTTTCCAGTTACTCTACCTCTTTACACAGCAGAAGGGATGGAGAAGAAAGGATCACTTGAAATCTCATTTCTTCTAAATCAACAGCTGTGCCAGAGGAAGTTGCTAAGGAAAGAAACACCAGGGAGGATGGGGGCACTCTTGGCCCCCAGTGCTCCAGCTCCCTCTCAGTGAGCCAAAGCCCTCCTGGAGCATAGGAGCTCTCTGCAGGGAGCACTCTGTGAGCCACATCACCCTGGGTAAGTTTTTTTTAATAAATATTGTCCATCTATCAACATGACTGCTAGCAGTGTGTCCCAAGATTAGGGCTTGTATTATATTAAACAGAGCATCTTGTAAAGAGTAGATTAATTTACACATTTTTCCACAGCTCAAACCTTAGTACTGTTTAGAAAGATTTAATTCCATCTCACAGGGAAGGGGTTTGGGTTTTTTTACATCTTTCCTATCTTTTGATCTCTTACTTTAGGAGATGACTAATGATTTATTATTTTTTAAAGTAACAACTGAAATTACATAAGAGCCCCAAGACTGTATTTTTAACTGTTCCACAGAGCATGGCATTTGTTCTTCTTAGGCTTCAGATGAGCTTATGACTACTGGTCTTGAAACTGAAAGCAATTCTATTAGCACTTGATTTCAGAAAATTAAGTTCAGAATTAAAATTTCATTTCTTTCTGTATTCAGCTTTAAAGAAGCAAGGAATGAAAAAAAAAGTTTGCCTTCACAGCATTCCCTTTTTTCCATCTTTGTGCAGTCTTAAATAAACTAAAATTACGTTTCTGTCTTCATCCCTAATAATTCCTGAAGACATTTATAAGGAAATGTTTCTAAAAGACCAGAAAGCAATTTGCAATTTCACACGAAGGTGATACAAGCCAGTTGTTTTTAATTTTTTTTACTTGACTTTTGACACTCAGCCCTCCTGGTATTTCACCCCTCCCAACCCCAAATGCAAACAGCTATCAGGGCCATAGGAAAAGCTCCAGCAGATAATTTCATCTGGCAGAGAGCCATACAAACATCATGCGCGCGCACACACAAAACGGGTAAAATCACTGCCACAGAGAAAGACACAATCCACTCAAAAAGACACATGCTGTGTATTTACATGCGTGCATAGGCAGCCTCATGCACAGGAGGGCTGACGTCCACTCGCCCATTAAGGCAGGATCAAGTTGAGATGCAGAAACACAAACTGGTAGCAGCTCTCTGATTTCTAGTAACAACTCAATCCTGCATTTCCTCTTCCTGATACCATGGACTGCCCTAGTCACATTTTGGTTTTTTGCTGGAAATAAATACACTGTGGAGAACACGTAAGTTACAATTCACATCTCTCCTCCCAACATTCTCCATGTATGCCACCATGGAGCCTTAGCCCTGATCTGCCTTGCTTCATGGATGGTTCCAAATTCGTAAAAATATCAAGTCAGCAGGTTTTGCAAGATTACGACAAAAACTGGACAAGCAAAATGTCATTTTCTCATTCCAAGACATTTGACAAAATTATGGGTGGGTCTGGACTACATCAAAATATATGGGAGGCTGTGTTAATTCACACTTCTAACAGCCCCCTTCTCCAAAATCCTTTATACAACTCAGAATTTATGGCATATTTAGCTGGGGTCTGAATCTATTAACTGACGTGTCTGTTACCTTTGGTGACAGCAATAGCAATCCCCCTCAAATTATAACTTTTTTTTATGTTATTTCACCTGTTTCTCTCTTACACAGGAAGGAACTGAAATTTTTAAGTCAGTGGTGGAGTATTCTCCACCAGAGTTGTTTCAAATAAGGGAAGATCGAAAAGAGAACAAAATAAACTGATGAGACACGCAAAGAGAATCTGTGACAATAAAAACACAATATTATGACCTCATGCAAGTATCATTCAGCTCTTCTTGAAATAAATTGACATGTGAGGTATTAAAGAGAGGTAAACAGCACCTACAGGACTAGACTGTAAGTAGACTGTCTAAATTAATTAAATACGTATCTATGAATATAATCTTGAAATTATTACTTAAATTAATATATGTAAAAGCAAGCCACATTGCAAGTCCTTAGATGTCAATAACAGAATCCCTGTATATTCATAACCTCTAGAAGTGTAAAGAAAACTAGGGAGGAATGGCCAAAGCTTTTCAGATATTTAAGAACATGTGCCCAAACTCATTTGTTCAATCAGTCCAGATGCAGCTAAGTATGAAGTTCATCAGTCAGCTGGATTCCACTAAGTTTCCAGACATTAATTTAAATGTATTGAGCATGGAAGTGGGTATCTTTCCCACAGGGCAAGACCTATTTTGTAACTCACCGTTCTGAAGGGAAGAGAGTTTGCAGCACCTCTGAGGAAATGGAAACAGGTTTTGCTTTGCTACCCCAACAGATGGTTCCCTCCAGAGGAAGCACCAACTCACTTCACTGTAGGGCAGCTGGACCAGACCAACATGCTGCTCAGGACCAAAGAAATCAGTAGACGGACAGAACACTAAACCTGTGGTAGGGAGGAACTTTTGGTATTTTTCTTAGCAAAAACATATATAGGTATATTTGTAGAGAAACAAGCTATTTGGTATTTCAGTTTGTTTGTTTGGTGGGCTGGTTTTTTCACTTTTAACTAGCATTCAGCCCATGCTTTGTGTACTTCAAACTAGTCAAATACAGACTTCCAAACCTAAATGTGGATTTCCCATGCTCCTTATTGCAGCAACTCTTACATCCTTCAAAGACACAGATTTTCTTCACAATATCTGCTCAAATAAGATGGTACGGAGGCAAAAATACCAAGAAGCGTTTGCACTTTTCAGCTTTATAACCATGTCACTACAACCTAGATTTTGCCAGACAACAAGAACTTCTAAAAGACTTAAGTGCCATGGGGGATCTACCAGAGGAATCAGCTACAAAAAACGTTGCTGTTAAGTGTGTGAAGTGCACTAAGCAGAGGCTGTCACACTACTGAAGATCAGGCAGAAAGAGAGTTTACCACTAAGTTTGGAGAAGCTGAGGCCCACGTACTTTGTGTGTGCGTGCGTGCGTGCGCGCACACGCACGTGTTTAATAAAACATTTTTGAGCAATTGTGCCCTAAAAATCACATTTTGCAGCTAACCATACAGAATAATGGAAGAAGCATTACCCCTGAAACCACCAGTCAGTGGCAAATACTACCTAACACACAGGATAGTCACCAGAAATTTCTCATCAAGTACCATATTGCAGAGACTGGACCTGCTCCTGACCATTGCGTATATAACCATGAATCTTCCTGCGATACACCAGACATTGCACTTACGCCCTAACTCAGGAGGCAAATTGTTTGAAGAGCTCCATGCTCAACTTCAGCTGCTAATTCTTTCTGCAGATTTCTAATAGGCAGAAGGAGATGATGATGGTTACAACCTGGGCTCCAAACCTCAACAGTCAAGAGGGCAAATGCTTATTAAACACCAGTGAGACCTCCAGCTGCAAACACTGAGAACAACATCAGTGAGCCTCAAGCACTCAGTTTTCATTCAATGTTAAAAATATATACA